ATATATGTATGTATGTATATATATATGTATGTATATGTATGTATATATATGTATGTATGTATATATATATGTATTACATTTTAAAACAAATAAGGGTTCCTGGACTTTTTATTAATTTTTTTAAAGGCATCGATGCAGAGACAACTGTTTGCCGTATTAATTTTTCATCCTACTTGAGGTTGCAAAAGGAGATTAAATATTGCAAAGTATCCCTACTATCCAATCAGTGGGGATATGGCATTTACGGGTAGTCCTCGACTTACGACCACAATTGAGGCCATAACTTCTGTTGCTAAGCGAGACATTTGTTAAGTGAGTTTTGCCCCATTTCTTGCCAACGTTGTTAAGTGTCTCATTACAGTTGTTAGAATTAGTAACAAGGGTTGTTAAGTGAGATGATTAAGTGAATTTTGCCCCATTTTACGACCACAGTGGTTGAGTGAATCACTACAGGTTTTTTTAACTTAGTAACACAGGTTGTTCTGTGAATCAGGCTTCCCCGTTGACTTTGGCTGGTCAGAAGATCACAAAATGGGATAGCGTGACCTCGGTACACTGCAACCGTCATAAGTGTGAATCACTCAAAGCATCTGAATTTTGATCATGTGAGCATGGAGATGTTACAGCGGTCCTAAGTGTGAAATATGGTAATTTTTCCCCATGCCATTGAAACTTCAAACGGTCACTAAACGAACTGTTGTAAGTCAAGAACTACCTGTATAGCATTGTTCAAAATTCACTTATTGGGAAGGGAAAAACCTCACTCTTCCTTTTTTTTTTGGCCCCACCTTCCTGGTCACTTCAGTTGTGCTAAGAATAAGAGATTGATGCTTCATTGAAATATAGCCATGGTAGATAAGAAGTAGACAAGAGTTTGGGATTATTGGAAAATACCATATTTACTTTTTCTTGAAATGTCCCCTATTATTCAAGGACTGGTTTGTTTGTTCGCTTTTTAATGCCCAGACCAACACAAATGTTCCATTCCCGGAAGCCATAAAACCACTTTCATTCATCTAGCTTTCCTCCATGTGCGTATAACTGTGATACCCACCATCCCCAACCAGTTCTCCTCTTATCCCCAGCCACAGCACTTAGAAATGCTGAGTTTTTTGAAAGTCTGCTTTACTAAAAAACCTAAGCAGAAACCTCATTCTTTCTCAAATTATAAAACCCCCTTTCCCATTCCATAAATTTGAAAGCGACAAAAACATGAGTTTCTCTTAATTGTGCTGCACAGTTGTTATTTTTCTCTTTTCTACCTTATCTGTATTTCTAGTAGTTTATGAAATTAGCATTATTGCTTAAGCTGGGCATTCTCCAACTTGGCAGGAATCATTCTCTCATTTTTGGTTGGGCTTTTTCTTTCATTCACAGTTCACCCAAGTTCAGTTCGAGATGGACGTAGGAAGAAAAAAGCAATTTTTTTAACACTCTCTGAAATTAGCAGACATTAGACAGCTTCTGGTTCCTTTCTGCAGAGACAGACGAAGGATTTTAAAAAAAAAATTTTTTAATTTACTAAGAAGCATGAACAATTGGGGTGGATGGGTGGTGGAAGATGTCCTTCTTAAAAGAAGCGCTTTTTAGAAAGATACAAAAACAAAAAAACCTTTTCACTGGTCGTATTTTGAACAATGATGGGATTCTGGAATCTCAGGTGAATGAAGATGACACTTATCTGTGCAGGGTTTCAAAAAAAAAAAAAAGGACTTTCCTGGGATTGCTGATTCCAACCCACTTAGGAAAAGAGGACCAGTTACTGGTTGCGAAGACGCTTGCTCCTCCGAGTCCCAGTGGTGTTGCTCTTTCTTTTGTGATAACGGTGGACAGATGAGTTAACTTCCAAGTTTGTGTTTGCAAAAGGGCTGGCATTCTGAGATGACTGACCCTTGGAGCAATGCCTTGGCTTAACTTGCTTTGCAAGATCCATGGGTGAAAAAGTCAGGGTGTCCCCTTGTTCCATGGTGAGAAGCAAGTGGTCACTGTCGGGAGAGAAGTTGAGCTTGGAGGCGAGTAGTGAAGAGAAACTGGACAGCTCTTCATCCTCTTCCTCCTCCTCTTCCTTTTCGTCTTTGAGAACACTTTCCATGGTTCCTCCAGGGAGGTCTGAAAGCACCACATTCATCATAGTGACTCTCTTGAGCAGATCACCTCCTACCTGATTCCAGTTACTCATTTCTTTCTCTGGAGTTACTGGCTCCCAGTAGACTTTGGATTCACTACTTAGAAGTGTAGGGTTGAATCCAGTGTTTCCATGGCTGCTGTTGCCCTGAAAGCTAAGGAGTGGTGGAAACACACTAGTAGGTACAGGAGGATCTCCATGGGGAACACTGTTCTCTCCATCAGCCTTGCTCATAGAGATATAACTGGAAGGATCCAAAGTGGGTTTTAGGAATTCATCATTTGAAAGCTTTTCTGCCTGTGGAGTGACCTTATCCTGATCTGAGAATAGTCCCTGAGACTCCTGGAGTTTTTCAAGGCTGCTCTGGACAATCAAAGATGGTGGCTCATGCCCAGAAAAGGTGAAATATGGCAGGTGCTCAGAATCTCCATCTGGTAGCTGGTCTTCAAGCTTTCCTCCCTCACTAGAACCACCTGAACAAAATGGCTGCATATTTTTTCTACCCAGCTCGACACTTGCTTTTAAACTAGTCTCTTGATGAGTTTCCAACACAGCTAGTTCAGTTGATGGTTGGCCCTCTTGTCTAACACAACTCGACTTTTTTTGCAGTGCTAAGTTATCGACAGGAAACCTTATGCTTCTCGCTTGGCTTTTGTTTTTTAGAGACACGGTCTTCATTTGCTTTACATTAGTGTGGGACTTTCTCTGAGATGGGATCTTAGCTCCTTGGCTGACAAGTTTGTGACCAATTCCTGAAAGAGCTGGTGTTACTCTGTCTTGACTTGCTATGCTTCGACCACAAGGGTTTACATTTTCAAACTGAACTGAGGTAACGTTAGATTTCTGAAGCCCTTGGATTTGGAATTGATCTTTGCCTACGGCTCCTTGGCAATTCTCTTGTTTATCACGTTCAAACTGAACGACTTCCTGGCCGTTGACTTTTCTTTGAGTGTCCTGATAAGATCTCATTTTCCTTTCCTGATAGTTGAGCTCTGCTTTACTAATGGGACTTTCAAATCCCACATCTTCCTGAATCTGAGGTGGATTTATGACCTGTTCATTCAATTCTCTACATCCACCCAAACTCAACGTTAGGGGCTTTTCCCACTTGTGGTTCCCTGCTAACATCATGTTATCTTGTTTATTAGGCTCAGCCTGTTTTGAAGGAGACACTTGTGCTGCCAATACTGTTTTCACTTGTCCTTTTTGGTTACTATCCTGGGTTGGTTTTATGTTATTCCAGATTATCTGAATTCCATTCTTTATGGGTGCTATGACTCCATAGCTGCCTTTATCTGTAGACTTAGGAGATTCTACTTGATCCTTCTTCTTTTGTTCCTGGATGATACCTTGCTTTGAATGACCAGAAGAGACAAGTCTTACAATTTCTGGCCTTGTTCTGCTATCTCTTAGTGATGATAGATGACTACCAAGGGTGCTGTTTCCTTTTATGCTTGGAAAGGCCCATTGGGTCTGAGTTGGGGTTTCATTCCTATTATTCATAGTTAGATCTTTTTCCTGGAATTTCTGCATGTCTCTTTCCTCTGGATTCTTCAAGGTGGATAGCAAATTCCCCTCCTGAGAGTCATAACCGCAATATTCATGAGGAGATAAACTTGCTCTGACAGTCTTTGGAAAAAACTCTCTGTCTCCCAGCTTTTGTTGTGCATTAGAAATCAGTGGAGAGCTGACAATGGAGGTGGCCAACTCTAATTGACTAGCTCTGATGCCCTTGTTTGTGGAAGACTTTTTTAAAGCCTGTCGCAACATGTCTTCTCCTTTGCCGTTACCACTGACCTCATCTTCTTCCTCAGATTGTGATGGAGTGGAATCAGAATGGGAAGTAGGATAGACAGAAGGATCTCTTTCCTCTTCAGATAGTGCCAGAAGTCTCTTCTCAGTTAACTGAAGATAGAAAGAGACAGAGGGATTCAATCAAGATCACATGAGGAACTAGTACTGCTCTATAAAGCCTTATAAGGCCACACCTAGAATACTGCATCCAGATTTGGTCACTGCTGTATACAAAAGATGTCAAGACTCTGAAAAGAGTACAGAGAAGAGCAACAAGAATGATTAGGGGCATGTAGGCTAAAATATATGAAGAACAGTTGCAAGAATTGGTGTGGTGGCCTAGAGGTGGAACTCTGGCCTCAATCAGGAGGCTGTGGGTTCGATCCTAGGTGGAGGCAGATGTTTCTCTCTCTGGGCACAATGAGAATATATCTGC